CACCTCCGCGGCACCTACCTCTATCTACCTACCTACCTACCCTACCCTATGGGCCACCACACCCCCGCGACTTGCACACGACTTGTTTGCTCCCGAGACTTCACTTGCAACGGCTCTTTGTTCTGTCTCTCTCTTGCGCGTGAAGCGAGAAATGAAAAATCGACGCGAAATCGTATAGCCGTATCCGTTTCATTCATGGTGACTTTACACAACATCCGAATCGAAAACTTTAACATATAAGATTATCGTAAAACCTTCTTAGGCAATTTGAAATGCAGTAAACTCCAATGCAAAAAATCGAATCGCATGACGTCCGGAATCGTGTTCTCGCGAAGTTGATGAAAGCAATTCTTTTAAAAAGTGAGCCTTTTTTTAATTAATATTTCGTGAAGAAAAGAAAAAAAAGATCGGAAAATTTTTGCCGTTCACATTCCGAAGATGTCGTACCCCGAAAATTAAACAATCTAAATGTCTAGTAATCTCTCCAGCGGATACGAGTGTTATATAGTAGATCGAACTATGCTAATTTAAACGAAAGGTACAGAAGTTTATAGCGCCAAAATACTCCAATATCCAATGCAACAATTTAGCAAGTGCTAGCTATTAAATACTTTTCACACACAAAACACTAATTCTCTTCCATGTTAATATTAGATTCTTAAGTCTCATTAGAAAGTCAAAATCCCTAGCACTTGTAAGTTATATACTTCAACCAAAGTTACAATACATAACATTAGAACAAAAAGGTATTAATTTTTAGTGTATTGTTATTTTTTAAAAATTATTATATTCTTTATTTTAATTTCCTTATCTCAAAAATCTTTATTTAAAAAAAATATTCGCCTCTGTAAAAAAATTTTAATGCATTGAATTATTTCTGAAAATAGAAATAATTAAAAATAGCAAAGAAGCCATCATATTAAAAATACTAATTGAATCCTTTTTTATTTAAGACATAAACTTTTTCAAATAATAAAAATAAATTTTAAAATAAAATAATTTTTTTGATAGATATAATTAAGTATTTTATCTAAAATAAAATATAAGACAAAGGAAATAGTACGTGTGTTATAAATATGTAAGTATAATGCAATTAAGATAGGTATATTCAAGAGTACAAGAATAGATAAAAACTCTAGATGCTGAAAACAATAGAAAAACAAATAATTAGTAATACATAATATATCTCTCTCGTGACAAATTTATCTCCATTAATAGTTTCCTAATCTGAAGCGTTACGATGATCTTTGATAAATCACGAAGATCTCTGATAGCGTTTGTCGACGATATTCGAGATGAAAAGAGATGCTGCTTTAGAATTCTTTTACGCTTATCGGCATCAAAGTTACAAAAAATAAAACTGAATTAGTTCTTACAACTTGAAATAATCGCGTAATGAAGGGAGAGAGAATATAGAAATAATCATAAGCAGATTACCTCGTTTATATTTCAAGATTCAATCCATTAGGACAAGACCGGATTCATACTTAACAACCCTCAGGGTCAATCATGATCACTTTAGAACCACTAATTAAACAAACTTGATACAACCGATCAAACAATCTCGAAACTTGGTTTAATTCGGTAGCAATCAATCCGATCAAGATTACTACGATCGCTGTCTATTTCCAGACAACACATGTCCCTGAAAGATGTCTAAAAGACGATTTAAAGACGTCTTATCGTCCTTTAGACATTTTTAAGATGTCTTCTTGGGTTCGCACACGAAAAGAATATCATAAGTGCTCGTGGTTATATTACATATTTAATACCAACTGTCTAATTCATTTATTCTTAATATATTTTGTTAGATTCAATCCATTAGGACAAGACCGGATTCATACTTAACAACCCTCAGGGTCAATCATGATCACTTTAGAACCACTAATTAAACAAACTTGATACAACCGATCAAACAATCTCGAAACTTGGTTTAATTCGGTAGCAATCAATCCGATCAAGATTACTACGATCGCTGTCTATTTCCAGACAACACATGTCCCTGAAAGATGTCTAAAAGACGATTTAAAGACGTCTTATCGTCCTTTAGACATTTTTAAGATGTCTTTTGTGCTGTCTAGGTTCGCACACGAAAAAATACCATAAATGCTCATGTTATATTACATATTTAATACCAACTGTCTAATTCATTTATTCTTAATATATTTTGTTTAAATTTATATCTTTACATTAAGTAAATTAAATTTACAATTTATACTAAATATGAGTACGGATCATGTTATATGAATGTTACAAAAAATACGATGTATCAAATCAGTCATTTATTTATCAATATATAAAATGTATCATAGAAATTAAACCATTTTCTTTAGAAACAAATATTTGCGATATATTGTGCTATCTCCGAGCTCTGACTATTTGTAAAACGTCCTATAAATAGATTGATAAAGAATGTATTGGCATTATTATAAGGAATGAAATTTAGAAAAAAAGCATTTTACAAATGTCATCATTAATAAGCAATAATGCAATAATTAAACGAATAATTTCCAATTTCATCGACTTTTTTAATTAAAGAATTATAGTGTATTTTTCTTTGTTAATATATATAACAAGACTGTTTTCTCACTTTTTTTAATAGAAAAATAATCTTTTTTGTGACTGCTAATATGTTTCCTTATTTAAACAATTAAAAATCGTCCGATCTTATTCTTTGTCACTTGCTTTTTATTATCATTTCAAAGTTTTGAACGATAAATGAGCCTGTGACTTCATTAACAGAAAACTTTTCCTGTGAGATTCTCAAGCACTTTCTTGTTATATATAATGTGTGAGGCACACGCATGCACGCACGCACACGCACATAAAATACCGTACATAGATCCCTTTTTGCAAAACAAAATTGTATCACATATACGAAACGGATACTTTTAGATTCACAATCGGTACATCGATGATGGTAACACATTTTGCAAGACTGTATATTTATCCAAGATTCGAACCGCTGCGCTAATAAGTATGTTTGCAAAGAAATCCGTCGAGTTACCATCTAACGAGTTGACGAAATTAACATCTACGTAACATATAATATATAAAATATAAAATCAGCATTAAATTGAAAAAAATGTTTATTAACTGCCAATAAGTCTTGAATCCATGTTCTTTCTCATCTATGTATGTATTTTATGTGTGTAAATTAATTATTAATAAATAAAGAGATAATTTTGAATGCAATCTTTATGGAAAAAATATATGTCTTTGTCTTTTATGTCTGCAAGAAAAGTTCTAGATTCTATTTTCAAATATTTTAAATTCAAATATATATGTATACATATTTATACTTGTAAAAACCGATTTATTACTATGCTATGCGTACAAGTTTTTTTTTTATAACACATTCATTCTTTCATGACAAAAAAATTTTGCATTATTGTATGACTAAACATCGTGTGACTAAAATATCTTAGCGTCATTATCTTTTATCTCTGTTATATTCTTAACTCTTTTGATTATTACACAAAAATGTGATTATAAGATTAAATGATGAAACAAAAGGTTTATTTAGCATTTTACTATCAGCGTAATACGATCAACGTACTATATCAGCTTTGAAAAAGAGGACAGGAATGCTGTTATATAACTATAATACATGTTTATTACAATAATTGAAATAAACAAAAGCTCATATTATGGAGCGATATAAACATTCACATCATATAAATTAATCTAGCGATATAAATTATTACTTTTTATAACGATCAAGCGACGAAATATAACCGTGTCTATTTTAAGATATCAAACTTTGATCAGTGTTGATTCTTATCATTATTTGTATACAGAGCAATTAAAACTTAGGAACACTGTAACAAAAAACTTTATTATCAAAAAAAATAATTTTTAATTCCGGGCCAATCGTAAAATATCTTTAGTACTCGTCCGTTTACGATCGTACAATGTAAACATTTATAATTCACGCGTGATTATTTATGCATGGCGTTTACGATATAGGCCCAAATTTTGAGCCTATTTATTTAACAAGCTGTTTATAATCGGAATATATATATATATAAAAAAGAAACTAAGTATTTTTATATTTTTACGAATTTTACCATTACAGTATATGCTCTTGGGTTTCTATGGATCATCCTATACATAATACCACAAATTTTCCTCGTTCCTCGAGAGTACAGCGTATTATACACATTGTATAAATGTATATATGTATACATATATAAACGGGAAAGTCCCCGGTGCGTGACTTCAATCGCCGTGAAACGTTCGTCCAGAACGCTTCGAGGGAAAACCCGAGTCAGCGTGAAAGGAATCTGCCACGAGGTGCACCAGCAAGCATTACGCTCCGGATGTGAGATAGTCGCTGTTATCGCGAATAGTTGGCAAAGTGATTTACCGGGGTGATTATATTACAATTTCTTTCAACGAGACACACTACCTTGCGATATTGGATATGTTCGAAACTTATTTTATTTTAATTTAGTTGTTAGTTTATAGCGCGCGAAAATATTCCGGTACGTTTCTTTCCGTGCGAACTTCGTCAGCGCGTTCTACGAATAGATTCCACGGGAAAGATTTTATGTAAATGCAAATCCCTGGAAATGCTTTATTAAACGGTGGTAGCAGAAAACTGCCTAAGAGACATATATCCACATAGCTGACGTTCTCCTAATTACTTTTTAATGAAGCTATCGTATACTCGTAAACGCATAGTATGCTCTATTTCTCACAAAACACCGTACTCGTCCGTTTACGATCGTACAATGTAAACATTTATAATTCACGCGTGATTATTTATGCATGGCGTTTACGATATAGGCCCAAATTTTGAGCCTATTTATTTAACAAGCTGTTTATAATCGGAATATATATATATATAAAAAAGAAACTAAGTATTTTTATATTTTTACGAATTTTACCATTACAGTATATGCTCTTGGGTTTCTATGGATCATCCTATACATAATACCACAAATTTTCCTCGTTCCTCGAGAGTACAGCGTATTATACACATTGTATAAATGTATATATGTATACATATATAAACGGGAAAGTCCCCGGTGCGTGACTTCAATCGCCGTGAAACGTTCGTCCAGAACGCTTCGAGGGAAAACCCGAGTCAGCGTGAAAGGAATCTGCCACGAGGTGCACCAGCAAGCATTACGCTCCGGATGTGAGATAGTCGCTGTTATCGCGAATAGTTGGCAAAGTGATTTACCGGGGTGATTATATTACAATTTCTTTCAACGAGACACACTACCTTGCGATATTGGATATGTTCGAAACTTATTTTATTTTAATTTAGTTGTTAGTTTATAGCGCGCGAAAATATTCCGGTACGTTTCTTTCCGTGCGAACTTCGTCAGCGCGTTCTACGAATAGATTCCACGGGAAAGATTTTATGTAAATGCAAATCCCTGGAAATGCTTTATTAAACGGTGGTAGCAGAAAACTGCCTAAGAGACATATATATCCACATAGCTGACGTTCTCCTGATTACTTTTTAATGAAGCTATCGTATACTCGTAAACGCATAGTATGCTCTATTTCTCACAAAACACCATAATACTAATATCACCATTATTACACAGAATTAATTATTCACGGGCAAAGAAGTATTCTTTCTGTTGACGAGCATTGAAACAACCTATATTAATGTTTTCAAGACTCCAATGATACCTTTGTATGCAAATTTTGTGCATTATTCAACGATAGTAAGTCTGAAACGCATATTAGACTACGCATTGAAGATTGAAATGATTGAAGATACAAGATTGAAATTTGATCAATCAGGACAAAGAAATTTTAATTCCTTTTGCTCTAATTAGTCAAATTCCAATCTTTAATCTTCAATCTTCAAGTTTCAATGCATATTCTGATATGAGCTTAACAAATTTTTCTTTCCCAATAAAAAAAAAAAAAGAAACAATTTTTGTTAATATTATAATTTTAGTTTAATTTTTAGATTTTCTTTTATTTTATTTCTTTTTCTTGCCTTTCATTTATTATGCATGTTTCGAAAATATCCGCGCTATCCTGTGACGTAACACATCAGCTGTTTTCTGTCTAACGAGTACCTGGAGTATTCATGCGCATAACGTATTTTTGTATCTGTAGATAATAATGACACACATGATGTTTCTGTTAATTGACTTTGCAACAAAAGTCTTATTGACTCGATATGATAAACTGATAAGAGATGCTTTAAAGTATGTAGAGAGAATGAGGCGTTTATTTTTTTCTGGTTATGTATATATATTTACTGTAAATAGACAATACGTAGTTTTGAATCAATGGAAAACAACCTAAATTCACAGGACATGACACGTAAAAATTCGTAAAATATGCAAATATTTATATCAGAGATATTATTTACATGTACAACTATATATAAATTCTGTTTTACTCAACTTTTTCAATGAAATGTTGTAAAATACCTAATTTATATTATATAAATATAAAAGTTTAGAAGGAAATAAAATGCTCAGCTCTGAAAGTTTTATTATAAAATGGTTCTTCTTTTTTATATATTGAATTACTCAAATAATATAAGCAAAAATCGATTTTATAACATGAACTTTTGAAAGTTTGAGTCATAATATCTATGACTATAAGGCTGTTGAAGATTTATAATCCCACTTTTTTTATTTAGATGTATAGCATTTCTAATTCTCAACCTTGTAAATTATTTACGTACTAAATTTTTCTTACCTCGTAGAGACATTGTCAAACATGAATCATCAATGGATTGTTATAAGTTTTCTAATAGCATATGCACAGCTATCATATAAATTTTATACTATGTACAACAGCTACTTTTATATTTTAATTCTACTTTTATTTCAAAAATTTAATATATACATATTCAAATGAGTCAGTGAAATATTAGTTGGAAGAGTCTAATTTATTTCGTCGCAATAAAACTTTGACATTTTCGTTTGCAGATGAGGACACGTATTTTGGATCTGCTGCTTATATACAGCTCCTTGAATTTTTGTTGTTATGGCAATCTTGGTAAGTTAATATTTTGATATTTAGAAAAATATCTAAATTTATATGCGTATTATCCACATTTAAATGTGATGCAGAAGAAGATTGTACCGATGGACCGGATGAAGATTACTGCAATGAAAACTTTATTGTGAGTATTACACAACTCATACAAATTCTATTTTTTATCAATTGTCTTCCAATTTTTATCTATTTTGAATTTATGAAAACTTAAATTATCAAATCTGGACAGCTTTTGTCTTTTATCTACAATTAGATTACATGTGTATTCTTAATACACATTGCAATCTCTTATCTTAAAATTTGAAACAGTTCCAAAAGCTCTTATTCTTTTATCTGCAGACAATATATCTATATTTGTCGGTGTAATCATACTTTCTGTGCAAAAATGTAATGAGATCTATTCTTTTCAAATATTCCGCAATAGTAATTATCTATTTTAAGAAATTATGTCATTATTCTCTCTTTTATCTATCAATAGGAAGTACAATTTTTTATCATTAAAATAACAGTTTTGTTTGTTGCAAAAACATAGTCAGCACCGGCCCAGATATCAACACCAGATTCACCAACTTATATAGCAGCTGTAGTAGAATATCACCCAGAATATACAACAGATAGTAATGAGACTTTGAAGAAAAATTCTGATGCATATGTCGAGCACATTAAAACAGCTAGGGTACATGTAAGCATTTTTAAGAAAAGATTAATTTTAAATATTTCATATAAGGATTATAAATGTAGTTTGACACAAAGTATATCCTTGCCAATACACATTCTGTACATAAAAGTTATTTAAAACATTTAAATATACTTTTTTTTTAGAATGCTGATATAATTGTTTTCCCTGAAGATGGATTAACAACAGTTAAATTTCCCAAAAGGGAAGAAATGCAAAATTGGACAACTATTATTCCTTCTGCTTCATTTAATTATACACCTTGTACTGACAGTACTATTGAAGTCAGTGAGGTATGTATATTGTGTATTGTAAAATCTTTTAATACCACAAAATGAGTAATCAAAATTTTTAATTATTATAAAAAATCTACAGACACTGAAAAAGATATCATGTGCTGCAAGAAACAATACAATCTATGTGGTAATCAATATTGCTGAGAAACTGCCTTGCATTGAAGATGTATGTCCAAAAGATAAGATGTTTTATTATAACAGCAATGTTGTATTTGATCGTACGGGAAAGATTATTGCCAGGTATCTTTATTATCATTAACACTGCAATGTGTGTGTATCTAACATTATACTGATGTCTAATTATGATAAATAGATATCGTAAAACGAATCTTTTTGGCGAACAACAATTTAATGTGACATCAAAACCGGAAATAGTGATTTTTGATACTGATTTTGGAGTCAAATTTGGAACTTTTATATGTTTTGATATATTATTTCACGAGCCTGCATTACAATTAACAAGGGTTCATCAAGTTACTGACATTGTGTATCCTACAGCATGGTTTTCTGAAGCCCCATTCTTAACAGGTAAATGTCATAGATTTTTTCTGCCTGATAATTTAGTTTCATCAAAAATATAGTATAAAATAGGATATTATTTATTTTTTCAGCTGTACAAACACAAGCAGGATGGTCATTTAGTGAAGATGTAAATTTTTTAGTTTCCGGTTATAATGAACCTGCTTCTGGCAATACCGGCAGTGGAATTTATTTAGGTAATTAAATTTACATTTTATATGTTGATTATAAGAGATTTTCACGCAAATATCTGTACAAGATAATATATCATGCAGGTCGTGAAGGAATAGGTAAAGCAATAATGTCTAAAACTACACGCGATGAAATATTGGTATTTGAAGTACCCAAAAAAAAAAAGGTATTTAATAAAGACCATCATGATCATTCAAACGACTACGATCATAAAGTTTATAACCATAAAAAGGAGAATATACACGAGGAATTATGGAGAAAGCAATTTTCAAACACAATGGCAGATAACGATACCATATTTTTGATACATGATAATATTAATGTCTTTGAAACATTTTCCTTGGAAGGAAATGTCACGAGAAATGTTTGCAAGAATAACTTCTGCTGTGATTTTAAAGTAGAAGTTGTGACAATAGATCCAAGTAAAAAATATCGTTTAATAGCTTTTAGTGGTATTCGTCTTTATGCTACCGTTGAAGCTGGCGTACGCGCATGCGGTATAGTTCAATGTTTAAATGATTCGGTCTCATCGTGCGGTTCTGTACATGATTCGAAAACAGTATTCAGCAGAATTGAAATTGATACAACGTTCTACGATTATAAGAATATTTTGATCATGCCATCCACGTTACGTTCAGATTTACTTCCTCTTTCCGAAAATTGGACGTACAACGAACATACTCATGATGATCATGTGCACATTAGTATGCTCTTAAATAATAATACAAATAATCTAACAACGTTTGGAATATATTCGAGATACTTTAATAAGAACAATGCAAGTAGAATAGTTTTTGATATCTATTATTTTATAGCCTTATTAGTAAGTTTGTGTCTATCAAGATTGTAATTTGTAATATTTTATGCATGCAACAGTATTGTACACATCTATCTATGCATACATTAAATATATACAATATATATTATTTTTTTTATATACATGTTTAGAAATTGTATCTCTTGTGTATAGATTTAGATGTTAATGATTTTTGAATAACTTTAATATAGTTCAACTATTTCACTTTCAAATTTTAATTTTTGATATCAAATATATTTTGTGTGTACGCGCGCATGTGTGTATGTGTATCTTTTATATTATTGACAATTGAAGTAAGAAAAAAAGACATATAGAAATATTATGAAACTTCAGATATTAAACGTATGTATATACATGTCAAATAAGCTATAGTAATAATAAATGTATCGATAATGTTGCTAATAAAAATGTCTTTTACAAAGCCATACGTTCTCAATATCTTCATCGCGAATTACGATAAATATCTATCATTCTTGCTACAACCGTATCCAATAAACCGTAAGTATCTATATATGAAATATAACTTTTTTATATACTTTTGAGATAATTTATATTATTAATTTATTATTATTGACAAGAGAGTATGTAAATGTAACGAGTAATGGAATATATTTTTATATATGTCTTTAATAAACGACGAAATCATTATATATAATTATTTTCATATTATTTCGATTTAGACTTCAAAAAATTGTACAGATATGCCCATACTGATATACCGAGGCCTAATTTCGAAGAATATCGACGAAAATCTACGCAAGATCCCGAAAAACCGGCTGCGAAAAATGCCGATAGAAGAAAAGCGCTGAGCTGCGTTGCCTCTTTCAGTGCGATTCAAAAAGATTTTATTTAAGATATTTATACTGCTTTTATAACATTTGTTGGTATATCATTCATTTAAAAATGTCTCTTTTCTACGATAATATACAAATATACAATACGTTAAAGAGAGAGCGTACAAAATTAAATATATATATATATATATATATATATGATGCTTTCAGCTGGTGGAGTTGCTGCATTGTATGCCTTCAAAGCTCACTTATTACATCATATACTTTTCTTGTCGCCTTCGCGAGATATATTAGCGGAAGCTCAATTAGAAGCGAAATTAGATGATATACCGGAAGGAAAAGTATCGGTCATTAAGTGGCGCGGAAAACCTGTTTTTATTTATCACCGGTAAAAGGTCTAATGCACATTAATAATTATAAGCCAAAGATAACAAAAATTCTGAATAGTTGCTGTTTTAAAAAATTATTACTCAATTTATACATTCCACTTTCATCTAATATTATTTAACTAAATTCATTTTTCGAATTCACTGTATCATTCATCATCAGAAATTTTTATTTTGGTTTTTGAATTTTACACACACGTATTACATTTACGTAATTCAAAATAAATTTCCGCACACCGTGCAGTCGATGAACTTATTTTCGGTGACCAACAAGAATAATATTATTTATTAATATTTACAGGTCTCAATCGATTATCGAGCAGGAGAGAGCCATGAACTTATCGGAGCTACGCGATCCGGAAACGGACGACAACAGGGTCAAAAGGCCGGAATGGCTAGTCGTGCTGGGGATCTGCACGCACTTGGGATGCGTACCAATTCCGAATGCCGGCATTATACCGGGCGGTTTTTTTTGTCCGTGTCACGGTTCGCATTTTGACGCGTCCGGTCGCATACGAAAAGGCCCGGCGGCGACCAATTTAGAGATACCCGAGTACAAATTCATAACCGACAACAGGATCATTATCGGATGATGTGTATATTTTTTTAGATTGAAATAGATATTAAATGAGTATGAATCAGCTTATGTGACATCGTTGTAGGGAATATAATTTTTTTTTTCCCCACGATACGACACAAAAATCAAAATCGAAAATTTGTGGAAATTATATAAAACGATTTTATAAAATTCTCCAATAATATATAATTAAAAATAAAGTTTGATTTTTTGATATAAGAAATATAAATATAAGAATTATAAATTTTAGAAGGAAAATATTTTTGGATATTGTCTCTCCTCATCTCTCACACACAGAGAATAATAATTTTAATTAATAATCTTTTTTTAAAATAAGGGGTGTCACCGTCCATGTCGCTTTTCCAAATATCAAGGTGACGTCAAATGACGTCTTAATAACGTCTTAATGACGTCATCTTGCTACTTGAGTTTAGATTAAATAAATTAAAATAAATATTAAAATTCTAATGGAATATATATATATGTACATACCCGACGATGATTCTGCAATTAACTGCATTTTTGTTCCGATGAAACACACTTCGGCGAGGAAATAAGGTGAAATATGCGGAGAAGCTTTTGGTCGAATTCGAACACATATATATACACATACACAGAGACGCAATTACCGATACTTCCGAAATCGCGATATTGGCATACATTAGGTATTTTCACGCGTTAATACAAACACTTCCGACAGTTAATTTTGCTTTGACGATTTAGATTTCGGCGAGAAAATAACGCGAAATACGCGTTTGCTTTCGGTTAAACTCGACCACTTACACATACACAGAGACGCGGTTACCGTTACTTCCGAAATCACGAAATAGACATATATTGAATATCGCACACGGTATATTCATGTTAAGACGAACACTTTCGACAGTTTTTACTACGGCGAAATACATTTCGGCGAGAAAATAACGCGAAATACGCGTTAGCTTTTGCCCGACTCGAGCACTTACACACACACACATACACGGAACGCGTTACTTCCAAAATCGCGTGATATTGGCGTACGTTGGATATCGCGCACGTTATCCACGTATATTTACGTTAAAACAAACACTTTCGACATTTAATCGCGCCCGCAACACAGTTTTAAACAATAATAATCGCGAAAAATCTTCGGAATGATACGAGTGCAAGCGCGACGCGACCAGTTCGTTACTCGCGGTTCAAGATTTCGAGAATCGCAATCTCGTCTCGCGATAGTATCGATAGTATCGATAGTATCGATCGATACGGCGGACCAATAAGAGTTAAGCGCGGTATAATCGATTCTCCATCAAGCGTCAAGCCAAACGTCCCTTTTATCGATAGAAAGACGTTCTAACCTACGTTGTAAGTCTTGTTTATATTATTTTTCAGTCTTTTCATTGTGAAAAATAAATTGGATTAAGATATGAGTGAAATTTATTATCTCTAATAACGGATTTTTATAGGTATCCTAATTAAAAAGTAACTGTAAATACAAATAAAAAACGCAATGACACCGCCGATGGAAAGAATTCAGATTTTGGAAACTATTGAAAAAGACATCATAATATGTTTACAAAGTGCAGGTAATTGTTAAATGCTTCATTGTGAAGTCTTATTAATAGCTTTTTTCTTTTATTTAATACAATACTTTCTTATATATCAAAGTATATACATACAGATATATCATACAAGATGAAACATAAAAATTGTAGAAATAAAATATAAAAATAATTATGCAAAGCAAAATACTTGATGTACGAAATACACATGCGATTAAGATATATGTACTTATATTATATACAGGACAAGCTTGCATGGAATTGAGTAAGGAGAAATCAAGCTTAAAACAGGCAGAATCGCAGACGCATCAATTTTTAAAAACACTAGGACAGTTGGAGTCTAAATTGAGTGAACAAATTAATTATCTTACACAGGTTTCTACAGGTACAGAATATATATTTACTTTATAATATCTGTATTTTCAACATATCTGTAATACTGTATATTATAGGTCAACCGCACGAAGGTTCTGGATATGCCAGTCAGAAAGTATTACAAATGGCATGGCATAGATTGGAGCATGCACGAAGTAGAGTTAATGAACTGGAACGTATAAAAAATAAGTTACGATGAGTATATAACTCTTCTCATAAAATGTTAAACTGTAAATATGGATAACATTAATATAATTTGAGACATTTCTTCTAAATACAAATTATTTGAATAAATTTACATGTTTTTATTTAATGTGAATTTTATAATAATACACACAATTTTCTGGATATTTCTTTTATTTCTAAATGTATAATATACTAAAAAAATACATAAATAATTTCTTTATATATTGTCTGTCTTTATCCTAAGCTTATCATATAAATGTGTTTGGTATACACGCGCGCGTATGTGTATGTAACAAATAGTAAACTTTTATATTTACTTTATAATATCTGTATTTTCAACATATCTGTAATACTGTATATTATAGGTCAACCGCACGAAGGTTCTGGATATGCCAGTCAGAAAGTATTACAAATGGCATGGCATAGATTGGAGCATGCACGAAGTAGAGTTAATGAACTGGAACGTATAAAAAATAAGTTACGATGAGTATATAACTCTTCTCATAAAATGTTAAACTGTAAATATGGATAACATTAATATAATTTGAGACATTTCTTCTAAATACAAATTATTTGAATAAATTTACATGTTTTTATTTAATGTGAATTTTATAATAATACACACAATTTTCTGGATATTTCTTTTATTTCTAAATGTATAATATACTAAAAAAATACATAAATAATTTCTTTATATATTGTCTGTCTTTATCCTAAGCTTATCATATAAATGTGTTTGGTACACGCGCGCGTATGTGTATGTAACAAATAGTAAACTTTATGAAAACATTCCAACAATGCGCAACATATATAATGCGTTTTATGATTAACTTGTACGTGTAAAATATGAACATTATGAACAATTTATCTTAAAACACTCATCTTATAATTACACATTCTTTGATGTTATCGACATCCTTATCCATCTATGACTCCCATACTACGTTTTACTGTAGCAGCTAATGAAAGTCGTGATCTTCTCTCTTCGTCTAATTGCTTTGTTAGTAGTGACATTTGTGATTGTAGATCTGTCATTTGATTCTTCAAGGTTTTAACCGTTTCAGATAATGTCCTGTATATAAAACATACATTAATATTGACATATACAGTAAAAAAAAACATGCAATGATCTTAACATCATACCAATATATTAACTATCTTTGTGAATCTCTGCCTAATTCTGCCTCAATTTTTTCTGAATTAATCAAATGAACAATAAAACGATAACAAAGTGTTTCTAGGAAAAGTTTAAGCAAGCAATGTTTGACTTTTGTAGAAATTATCAGATTTGTTGCAATGGAGGACAAGACGAGTATTTTTTTCAAAATAATATTAATTTTTTTACACTTGCCTGTCATTACAAGATTCCCAGTTGCCTCTATTATGCGCAGATGATATCCTATCACGTGATTTTTGTGAATCATAATCTAACATTGCTGAAAAGCATAATTTCTTCATGATACATGAAATATCTTGAAAAGTTTACACAACAAATCATTAATAATTATCTTTCATCACTTACAATTAGATTCTCCAGAATGTACAGTAAATCTAGCATTGACAGAAAGACAATAACCCTCTATTACTTTCAGTATGATTGCATCTTCTTCAAACTGTCGCTCGTCTATGATGTAAAACATACAATAGAAAATAATTTTAAAAAATCTAATATTTATTCAATACAGATAAATCTTACTGCATGATCGTTGTAGGCGTGATGTATCTGTGGTAGTATCTGTTTTTCCAAAATTCTTAAGAGAATATAAGGGAGGAGCAGGTCTTAATGATGCAAGACTCCAAGGTGTCTTAATTCCTGGAGATGTGCAATGCTCCATTATCGGCCGTTGGTGCTTCCCGTTCAACTGATTGTTCATCTGCTACAACACTTAATTATATTAATATGTTCTATTATTACAGAACCTTTTATTCTACTTTTTTGCGATCCTACTTTTAATTAGAAATTATCTTAAGGATACAAAACACATGATTGTATCACTTTAGAGTGCACGCCCTACCTAGAAGCTAAAGCTGTGCCTAATCAAAATCAATGGAATTTTGCACAAAGTGGATGATGGCAATGCGATAAATAAAGGTATGTGCAGAAAAATTTGTGATGTTTTTAAGAACTATCCTATAATGTATATTGTGTTAGTAAAGCAATAGCTTACTTCACACAACATGGCTGTGAAATAAGGGCATACTATTTTTGGTGAAAAATGATAATTAGTAAAAACACCAACAATGGTTAAAAAACTGAAATGAGATCAAAGAAACAGCCATGCCATGGAAGCTTGCCTTGTTCCGTGTATCCAAATATCGGGATAGGTTTCTTGAGCCACCAATGAGCATACAGTCCAGATGAATACACTTGATTAGTTGGTTCGTCATGTTCCTCCATAATCGGTTGTATTGGACGAACTACATGTCTCCCGATTTTCTTAATTACACATTGATGTGCGTACGGTATCGGTTGCGTATACCTCTTTCCTTGTACATTTCCATAATTTATCAGAGGATGAGTTAATAGAGTTTCTTGAATTTTTTTCTCGCTATTATTCGGATCGTTATTCGCATCTCTATCGCTAGGTCTTGCAGAATTTGTACATTCATCAATATTTTTGGACGAAGCTAGAGAATGGGCACTGTCTCGAGGTGTAGAGCCAAACGGCGAAGTGCAAATACACTGATGCTCAAATTTATTCTCATCGTTATCGCTTTCGCTATGAGATGTTCTTACAGGATCTGTATACTTGGTATGACTAGATGCGTACGACTTGTAACAGGAATTAATTTCAGATGAATTCAAGCGATAACTTTCGGCCATTCCCGAATCCGATGACCGTAAACTAGTGTTTGCGCACGTTTCTCTTTTTACGCTATTTTTCTGGTTGGATGTCGTCGAATATTGAATCTCCGACATCTTTGGATAGAGTTCGATCGTTTTTGAATAATTCATCGTTAGACCGCTGTGCTCTTGGTCGTCTGGTATTTCCAAATGTTCTCGACAAAATTCATTACAGCGCGTATGAAATTTCGATGTATAGGATTTGCTTGACGCGAGCGGCAGGACGTGACTCATTGTGGCAACGGCCGGTAAACTTTTACTAGTTTCGAAGGTACAGCGATCGACTCTCGGTGCGAAATTCGTGAGTGAGGCAGTATTTGCGAGTCCTACCGTACTAAGATCAGTATTATCTATCACGTATTTAACATCCAGTATTAACGAAGATTTACGCAATGTTCGTGGCTCCTCCTGTGCATTACTTTCAGTGGATGTGTTCGACTCTGATCCTCCACTGCTACTAGCAGTTAAAATAATATAGGTCACATTGCATTTTCTCATTTTTACATTGCTCAAGTCTGGCTTCAAAACATATTGTATATACAACAACTTTTTCATTAATTCGGGATATATAACTTTTCTCCTCACGAGCTTCGCAAAGTATCTCGAGAGTCGCGCGTACGGAGGATGATGACAACTCACACGAGACACTGTTGGTGATTTCAAGAGGCTACTAGTGCCTTGTTCCTGAATCAAGAGATCAATCCAACGCTGTCTTTCTTCCCTTGTGGCGCATAACACGACAATACTCTCAATCATTGGTCCTTAAAAGATACATATCACAATACATTATTTATATAAACTACTATTTAAAAAAATAATTATGTCATTTTGCAATGTAAGAAAAGTAGATGGATCTGTTCATATATTTTTTCGTTACCGTTTTCTAAATCACAAAATGACATTTGTTATGCCTGTTGTAAGATAGAATTATGATACATATAAAATTATAATAATAATCGTACCAGTGATCTCAAGAGCATTTCTTATTTCATCCGTATCTTCAACTCCAGTTACATTAATACCAGTTAATGGAAGTTTTCCCTATACAAATAATTGCAATACACAAAATGAGATTATTGTATATTAAAGTTGTATTATTAAATCAGTGTATATATATAATAGAAATGTTACCAAATATATACCTCATAAATGAAGGAACTCATCCTAGGACTGGTGCTAAGTACTAGCAGTGTGGTGGGAAACAAAACAAAATATCTATCTCTGCGATCTACAGTTGCCAGAGTTACAGCTCCAACGTGAATAATCTCACCTAACGAACTTAATTCTTCACCTTCCCAGCCTTTGATTCCACTGGTTAATATTTGAAGCGCCAACTCACGTTGCTTACGTATAGAAGCACAATGATCCTAACAATAAAAACAGATCATATCATAATGAACAAATTTAAATGCAATTAAATGTTAATAACAATTGTTGTATATACAGAACAAGATTATCATACTGTGATTTCCCTATATACTGCTATACTACGTTGAGTATCTCCTCTATCAGGATGATTCTTTTCGGTATATCTTTCTAATTCTTGAAGCATAGCAGAGTACTTATCCAATCTTCGAAATGGCTTACTAAGGCCAGTGGTTAATACCAATATACCAGGTGAAATTGCTCCACTACGCTCCATAAATTCATTTAATTCATCTCTAAAACATGATAATGTGTATAATGAATATATTTGATCAATATAAAAATACAGGTTTAATAAACTAATCTTATATCTCTCTTTCAGTAGCTACCTGTATCTATCTAATATACAAACAGCTTGTGGATGATTATTACAATATGTAGTGTGAATAGATTTTAGTCTCGGCGCGATAGTTAGAAAAAGGTTTCCTACTCTTGCAGAAAGTCCTTGTAAAATGGTTGCTTCCAAATTTGCCAACAGACATTGATGAGTTTCCAAGATTTCGTGTATATTACCAAGTAGCTGTTTATATTCATCTTTCTTCAGTCTATATGTATATATATATATAATTGTAAGTTTTTATAGTATATAACATATATATTTTTCTTTATATATTTTATTATATAACTTACATATTTGATGCTTCAAGAGGTTGTAAAAAGTTATTCGCTAAACCTTGTAGTTCTGCTACATTTACTCTCTCAGAATCCACAATATCCTTCAATACTATGTCGCGATTAAGTTTCTGATGAGTAGGTGATTCGTGTGGACTCCTTTCTGGAGATGTTTTGATTGATGTATGACCACCATCTATATATATGTTTATTCATCAGACAGTATATAAAATGTTACAAGAATTGAAACCAGATTAAGTATGCATAATTATTAAAGTATTCAAATTTCAATATATTTAAATCTATTTAAAGAATTTATAAATACACACACTGTACCTGGAATTCTATATTCTTTGACATAATTCGAGGGAAACCAACCAGTTTTGTCGTGTAGCGTGCCTTCCCACCAGCCTTCATCATCCACCTGAGTTATTGTTATTATATCTCCCTTCTTAAAACACAACTAAAAGAATGAGAATATTGCGTAATTAAAAAAAAAACATATTTTGGAAATTACGATGATATATTGTTCCGATATATTGTACGATATTCTCAAGTATCACTCAATGAGAGGTATTCTCTTCTTTTTACATACCTCATCGTTATTCTTTCCTTTAAAGGAAAAAAGCGCTATAACAAATTTCGGTGCATCGGGCTTCGACATAATTTTGTTTCGTTGATTGCGAATCGTAAAAGAACGTCAAGGAACTAAAGTGGTATCGCCGCGCATTTCCTTGTCACGGGAATAATGTTCAGCCTTCAAACGTCTGGCTTTCAGAGCGCATAAGAAGGCACTTGTCCCGGAATTATAACATAGCTCACGGGCATCAAAACGCCATAACACGAAGAATATTTTGTCATACATATATTCCAAGTATTCTACTTTTCGCTTCTCTGTCATGCAAGAATTGGTCGCACGTCGCACGCCTGTGAATGCCAGTGAATGCCTGTATCAGCTATTAGCATAAATGCGATGGTATAGATATCTTACACACATACACATTTGCTGAATTACACTCGTTATCTATAAATAAACGCATCTGCGCGCCACGTGACTATACGTCATGAACAGATCTCTATTCGTCTTGTTTTTTTGAAAAAGGCATAAACACAAACGAAAGATACATTGGAGGAAAGAGCCATATTTTTTTTATCAATTTTATTTCGCATATAAATTTATTTTGTATATATGTTATGTGTTGATTTAAATATCCCGCCAACTCTTGCTAATCCATGGATGTGTTCGAAAATTCTACCCATGGAGTAGAGTAGCTTCTAATTGACCAATCAGGACAAAGAAATCTTTTTGACCAATCAGGATATAAAGATTTCTTTTCCCTGATTGGTCAATTAAACGCTACTTTATCCTATGAGTAGGATTTTTGAACTCATCTTTTGATACATTTGTGTGCATCGCTTGACGCTAATTTTGTTTCGAAGCGCAAGATTCATTATCTTAATTAATCTTGATTAAACACTTGGAAACGATAATAATATCAAACAGAATGCACCCTTCAATTATACGTGTTGCAGACGCGTAAGATGACACAAGAACGTGATATATGCGACGCACAATTTCCAACGAGCATCTTCAGAAATATATTTAGAGGTATATCGTACAATGAGTTTGTATTTATTTCACGACGAATGAAAATGTTAGAAGCATATATTACATATTATTATACGGACAGAGCTGCATACACACTAGCAACCGCGTTTAATTAGTACACGATATTATTTCGATACATTGCTTAGACCATTTCGATATATATTTCGATTTAACAATCTAAATTTTAATTTCAATTCTAAGATAATCGAAAGATAGAAAGAAAGAAATATATATATATATATATATATATATATCTTTTTATCTTTCGATTATTTTATCTTTTTTTATTTTCTTTTCCATATTCTTGATATATTTTGATGCTTTTTGTTGAGTAAATTTGTCTAAATTTTCATTATGATTTTAATAAAGTCAACCTTTTTGCGACTCTAATCGATCGTAATTTTTAATAAAATTACAATCTCTTTAAACCAATAAATCAAATATAGTTACATATATATCGTATATATATATATAGTCATAATCATATATACATATATATTTACTTCTCAGCAGATTTAAAAAATGGTAAAACCCAACTTTCTCTGTGATTTCTCGTCATCGATCAGGGATTACTTTCTCACATAATCGATCATCGCAACACTAAGTCGCACAATGCCATTAAAGCGAGAGATGAGAATCGGACGAACATGATAAGAGAGAAAGAAGCGGATAAAAGGAGAGGAAGCAACGTGTAAGGGCGGCGAGGGAAGGGGCACGGATGGAGATATAAAACGGTTGACCCTTGCCCCCTCAATGACCTGTCGGAGATATCATTCCACTAAATTCATTCGGGTATCACCCCAACTAGTCGAACGCGTGCATACACTTCTCTATAGTCAGTCTTTCGAGCCTCATATCGCACGTCGTCATCATCGTCCATTGATAAGCATCTATCTCAGTGGGCAGAGAAAGACAGTGCCATTTAACGACACGAAGCATATGTGATTGTATGTGTGCGCGCGCTAAAATTAAAATTAATTGTTATATTGATCGATTAAGAATAAAAATCGAAACGACATGTGGTGCGAGTTGCATTCGATCCAATCAAAAATGCGAACAACAATCCTCTTGATGGTGTGCTGTTTCCTGTGTGGCCTATGTGCAGGCGACGAGTCGAAAAAACTGAATGATATCTCATCTTCAACAAGTATGATTTTGACGAATTGTTTTGTAATAAAGTCTATACACTTCCCCCGTATATCGTTTAAATGTGATTCGATCAAATTATAAATATCACGTGGAAAAAACATTTTTTTTAATTGAAATTCTCGATTCTCGCTTATTCTATATATAAATATAGCTTCAATTCTATAGTTCCCGTAAATTGCTTAAATATGATTTAATCGAATTGAATATTATGTGAATAAAAAAACTATGTTTTTTCCTTCTAATTGTAATTTAAAACTGTAACTGAGAAACTGAACTTTGAGAAACTATTAATTTTTTATAATATAAGAAATAAATTAAAGAACTATTGACGTTTGATAACTACGACGAACTAATTCCCACATTATTTTTCATATAAATGATTCATTCTTCTTACGTAATATAATGTACAGTTCAAGGGGCAATCGTAGTGTAAATCACTGTAGGATAGAGCTATCGTTTTCAAATTCTCTGAAATAACTGAATCTCCAAGCTATTTATCTCGAACATTTTAGGATGTCGATAATTTTTGAAACTAAAAACTTTGTATGGCTTTAATATTATATTTTTGGTCATATTTATTTATTATTTAATGTTATTATTTGGCATTATTAGGTTTATTAATTGAGAATGAGGTAATATATGACTTGTTCTAGACAAAAGTAAGGCAGCTCAGATTGCAGCGGGCGAGCAACGCCTCGGGGATCAGATTCGTGCAATCCTCAAGCATTATCAGCAAGACGATCCGGTCGGGCTTCCAGGCGCACCGATACCGGATCCGATGCCGGTGCCGGATATGAAGCATTCCTTCTCTATGTATACAATGAATTTTAAGCAAGTCAACGTTTACGGACTATCCAAATTCCGTATCGAGCACATAGAATCGGAGTTGGCTCGTATGCAGGTAAACTAAAAGAACGTTAAACGAAAAGAGATATATGGAAATAAAAAATTAAACAAATTGTTAAAATTGACTCAATAATATTTTTATTTTAATATTTTTTATCGGATTTTGTGACTAGAATTGTATATATTATATTATTCTTTAAATGATTCATACTTTCGAGGAAAAATTTTACTATTCCTCTCGTTTTATTCTTCCTAAATTATAAAATTTTCATTTTTTTTATTTATTACACATATTCTTTTATTTTTTATGCGCGCGCGTTGATTTCAATTTATAGACTTTACTTTAATGGAATTTTAATTGAAGCTTAATTATAAAAATGTGATGGTAAAAATTGGAAACTTGCAAAAAATGTTGAACTTCCTTCACCTTTTAGTTAAAGGAAAATTTATTCCAAATTGACTAAAAAATCTGCTATTAAAAAGATATCTAATGATTCTGGAGTATCTTATATATGAAATTTCTGTACAGTATGTTTAAATATTTTTTGTGAGAATATTATCATATTTATATTATTTTCACATACTTTTGTGTTTACGGGAATCTCTTCAATTTTGGTCTTTCCATGATGAATATGAAAGACAAATGTATTTTTGAGGTGTCCGTCGCAGTGAGGATCGATAGTCTTGACATTCGCGGATTGTACACATTGGCATCATGGCTCTCAAGATCGGCCGGCAATTTTACAGTGAAGCTCACCGGCGTAAACGTCGAGGGTATCGCCAGGCTAGAAGTGGCCACCGACGGTAAATTACAGGCCCAAAACATCGACATGGACCTGACCTTTAACAAGATCGACATGGACTTCACAAATCTGGGATTTCTCGGTTCGGTCTTCCAGGGCGTCATCAATTCTGTCGGCTCCTTTATCTTTGACAGCATCAAGCCATTCATACTGAAAGAAGTTAACACAAACATGAGGTACGATATTCTTAGATTCTTGGGCGATAGTTCCCTTCGTATGCCGAAAAATAATGAAATCAATGAAAAATGATTAAAAAAAATAGTAAGAAAATGTTATATACATACGAGTAATAGTAATCAGAAATTCATCAGATGCTACAAAAATTATAATTGAATGCTGAAAAAAATATTAATTTAAATCTGACACACTGTTCTTTATTTAAACTTCTCGATATCTAACAATCTATTAAACAAATATTAAATCTTATATAAAGTATATTTTATAAAATTCTATACATTTTAATATAACAAATATATTTCTTTCTTTTTTTCTCTTTTATTTTTTTGTTTTTATCAGATAATGTATAATACATAATTTTTCGTCTTGTTTACTCTTATTTGAAGTATTTCATAAGAAAGTTGGTACGTTTCAGGGGCGAAGTGAATAAGCAGATATCACAATTACCGCAATATTTCCCTAATTCAATTTCACCCTTCGACATGGCGGTGGCAGAAGTTCGTAAGCAGGTTTCTCAAATGGGCTACGATCCATACAACTTGAAGGATTACAGCCAGAGCGTCGGTGTATTCACTGTGACCTCGTCACACACCTGGATCATCGGTTTGGCCAGTTTCTATCGCATGGGCAACATAACGATCACTTTGGAGAATGGAATTGTGAGTGTGATTTTTGAGAAAATCTATAACAGTTAACCGGGATATCTCGATTGAAGAACTTTAAAAGTATTTCTACATAAAAATATCACGGGAATAAGTATGTATACTATAAACGCAAAAGAATTCCGCTTGAAAGAAGATGGCATTAATATAGATGAATAAATTATAATCGAATTTAAACAAATGCTATCTAAGGATTTTTCTGAAGTAAAGATGACGTACTACTAATACGCAGTCGCATTATCATAATTGCAACGCGATCGTAGCGTAATGTTACGTAAAGACACCATTTGCTTGCGATTTTGGAATTTGGCATGCGCGTGTGTGGGCGACGTTTGCTTTTAATTTTCAAAGAGATGATTTATATGCTACGACACTTTATTACAGGTGTACGCGCTTCTGGATGTCGGCACTCAGGAGCTGAAGGGCAAGACGCACTGGGAGGTGAGCGTGATTGGCGGCGTCCTGTCTCGCGCCGGCACCGTGTCCTTCACCGTACAATACTTCCGAGTACAGATCAAACTGAGTCAATCGCTGGACACGCGAAAGCGCGCCACCCTGGAAGAGCTAGAGCTCGAGCTGGGCAACATCCAGGCGAGAGTCCACGGGGCCGGCACGCTCGATTATCTGATGGAGGCAGGCGTTAATATAGTTCCGAACCTATTAAGGTAAATTGTAATGGCCACGGCCATTATTGTAAAATGTGCGTCTCACGCCAACATCTCAAGGCGACGCCTATAATTGGCGATTTTCTAATCCCGATCGGATTAGAATGAGAATTAGGAGATGTATGTCTAACGTGTTTCTTTTGACGTATAGAAACCTGGCATTGTTAATAATATCCGGAAATATTATAAATATCTCTTGTTTAAACTTTTTATTTAACATTAGAATACAGAGTTCTCGAATTTTTATTTTCTACAAAATTCTATTGTAAATTTTTATTAATGATAATTGTAACGTTCCACAATTAAAGACTATGAATATATTTCCTCGGATTTTTCTTGAATATTCAGATATTTTATTTACATTTATGTATTTTATTTAGATTGTATTAAACTTCTTCGTTTTGTTTCTTGGAATCTTCTTTATACATCTTATCTTCTAACTCTGCTTCACTTTCGTAGATATCAGATTATGGACGCGATCGAGGGACCGCTGAAGAGACGCATACAAGAAGAATTGAACAAGGTGGATGTGGAGAAATTGATCGACGACAAAATTCCAGTGATAGAGGAGCAAGCCAGATGGATACAGGGTTTTGTACCTCCGGAGGAAACAATCTTAGAAGAATCAACACCGCCATCAAATCAGGACGATCAAATGCCGTTCTCTGATAGCGAAGAAGATCGGGGACCGTCGTAAGAAAGTCACAGATAAATAGATAGTAATACATATTATAATTATGACATATAAGCCAAATAATAATTGTAAGTATATAATAATAATAAATATTTAAAAAGAAGGTCATTCACAAAATCATATTCTAGAATAAATTGAAAAGAAATCTTTATTGCAAAAATATCGTTAGCATGTGAGATATTATAATATATTACAGTTATTGTAATAATTATAGAAATTATAGATTTTTAAGTAAAAGGCGAATGAAAGTACGAGAGAAAATTACACACGTGAAAGTAAGATCATCTTATTAACACTAAATGTGGAATATGCATTTAATCGTCATTTGAACACAACTTATTCGAAATACGAATATATATGAAATATACTACATAATATATTATGTTTATATTTCTACTTTATTTCTTGGCTAGTAATAAGTAATCGATATCGCGTGATTTACCGATAGTTCTATATGCACATATTCTATATAATTCGCATTCATTGCTAAAAAGAATAGTTATGTAAACAATCTTTGAACATATAAGTACGAACTCTAACAATAAATTAGGAATCATCGAGCTAACGATAATGCAAAAAACTACACAAATTATTACATAAGAGCGACAAGCTTCTTAGACACGATAGCAGTTGATTTTAAGAGCAAATCTTAACGGCATAAACTGAAATTAATCGCCGATGAGTATATAATCTCTAACGAATCCGAGTGAAGTTATTTCTCAGTGTTATGTAATCTCGTAATGCTGCTATTATTCGCACTCCAACCGGTACCGCGTTTGCAAGAGCTTGTCAACAAAATAATTGGCAACAACTACAGGTATAGTGATTGTGTATAATTCCCTACAATTATGGTCATAGGCATTCAAACGCGCGAAATGACTCACGATCACAATTATTGAGGCGAATCGATGCGCTTGTTAATTTCCATTCTTAAAAAATCTCGCGCAGATGTAAACATTTAATTCTCAAATTACAATCATCAAACTATGAACCAAACTGACATAAAAATTATAACGATCGTGACTTCGCGACCTTGCTTACACATACAATACAATGTTGATGTACATAGATTAATATATATTAGCAGGTGTTTAACATTTAATAATAATAAAATTTAATAATAAACATTTGCGAAAAAGCCGAATAACGCAAACTTATCGCCAAGACATCTGCAGATCTTCAAAACATTTAATTATTCTAAACGCCGATTATTTTAATCAATGTTTAATTAATTTTCCGCTTTTTTTTTAGGTATCGATCGCAACATAGACAATGATGGATAATTCAGTAAACATGATTAGCCTTAACAATGGTTCGAATATTTAAGCAATATTTAAAATGCCGGAACAATTTTGCGTTATCCATAAGCATATCAGCGCATTATGCGGCCTTGATGGCCGGCTTATTGCTTCGTAGAACTGGCACGATTCGCTCGCCCGGCGCCGGGAGTGCAAGTCTAGGAGCCGTGATGGTCAAGATACCGTCAGATGACAGACTGGGTTTCACATGACCGATATCGTAGCCTTTGGGCAATAAATAGCGGCGCACGAACTGGCGCGAGACGTAGCCGTGCCTGTCCTTCCTGTCGTTGTGTTTGCCCTCAACGGTGATGTATTTGTCGTCGGTGCGTACGGTGATCTCCTCCGGCGTGAACTGCTGCACGTCCACGATCACCTGATATTTATCCTCGTCGCGCTCGACCATCGCCGCGCCGCCCACTTGGTGATCCAGGTTGTTGAATAAGTCACGCCACGGGCGGAATGTATCGCGGAACGACGGGGACGGCCACAGATCATTGTGCCGCAAATTCAAATGCCCAAAGTGCTCCTCTACGTCGCGATGCCAGCGGTCCATATCGTCCCACCAACTACGAAATACATTCCGTGGTATCAGGGCCATGATTTCCTAAAACTGGATTAATGTTCGTCCGAATACACATGTTATTCTTGCCATATGTAGGATATGAAATTATTTCTAATTAAAAAACTCCGATATATAAAAAGAAAAGAATTAAGTTATAAAAAATATATAAACTCCAAGTATATATAATATAAATATAGAGTAACATATTAATACATAATAAAGAATATATATAAATTATTAGATATTCTATAAATAGAAATCTAGAAAACAAAAATCTCGATTAAATTTGTCTTCTATAATTGCCTGCGTTTTAAATAACATGTACAATTTCATCCATAATAATATGAAATAATATCAATGCGTAATATATATATATATATATATCTCCAGATAATATAACTATATATTATCTCTCTATATCTTTAAAAGCAAATAAACAATAAGATATCTATATATTGCTCTATCTTACAGTTGTATAGGGAACATAATTTTGAAATAATTTTAAATAGTCATTATATATATAGCTTAAAAAATAAGTTATCTTTCACATATATCAATGTTATTCAAAGTTATATGATAAATTTTTAAGAATTTCAACTCACAGTAAAAACGATAAATATATACTGAAAGCATGGAAACTTAAATGAGAGAGTATATAAGTAAAATAATTAAAATAAAATCTAATTTGTTTTATAAAAGAATTATCCAAATAATAATCGCAATATATCTTCAAAAATCTCTAGCTTGAAAAACGAAACTTTTCAAAATCCTCTTACGAATTATATTATACCCAGACAGCACAAAACGTCCTCAGGATCATCCTGAATATGTCCAGGATGGTTCAGGATATTTGTAGGATGTTTTAAGATATTATTATAAATATATTTTATGAAAATTTAATATGCATACATGATTACTTTCGGTTATGTAGGCTATTTAATATAATTTAGAAATTTTAAGTATTGTAATAAGTATTAATGTCCTATAAATGTCCCCTGGATAACCCCTGGATGTCTGTAGGATATCTGCCCTGTCTATTATATTAAATGTCCTTTGGATTTCCAGAGGACATATACATGTGCAATTAATTGTTAACATTAATTTCGTTTAATATTAATAATTGAATTTGATGCGCACATTTTCATATATTCAAAATTATTATTTATTTAATATTTCATGAGAAATGTTACTATGCGCAACATTCCAAAAACTTTACAAAAAATAGTATTCAACCGCTAGTTCGTTTGTTTACCGCTATGCGACGCGCGAACTCGTATTTGAGATTTGGTCATGAGAATTATATAAAGCTTGCAAAGAGCAACTAACAGGAAATTAAAAATATAATTATTTTTTATCAGTTCAATTTCTGATGCAATCCCAACATAGGGAATTCAGATATTGGATTGTTTTGAAAATATTACACGACTTAAACCCGGAAGCCAAACCTAAAATATTTATGTACAGCACGAAAACCTCAAATATTAAAAAACGTGAACTATTTTTAGTATTAGCAGTAAATAACAGAACGCAATCTTAATTTATATTTAAATTTTAGAATTTGTTCTTTTTAACGTGTGAAAAATATCCCTAACATATCCTATAGAAATCCTTAAGATGTTCCACAGATGTTTCACAGGATCTCCCTGGATTCTCCAGAGGCTAGTGTACGGCTATCATTTATTCTTCCTCAGGACATCCAGAGGAGATCCGAGGATTAAAATAGGATATCCTCAGGATATCCTACATGTATGTCCTGGATGCCCTTTGGACGTCCTAAGGACATCCTTGTGCTGTCTGGGTAATTATAGCTATATATGCAAAATAAACGCGCAATTTTTTTTACATACAAAACTTTCATAATTTTAATACTAAATGTTACAAACGTAACAGTCCGATTAATTGATGTAATTCCGTACTATTGTTAAATAATTATCAGTAATTCGTGCGGTGAATTCGTAGAAGGCGAATCGCTGTGTACGTACCTTATTGCCAGAAGTCACTCGCGTCCTTCAACACAATACAAATGTTCGATTTGTGCACGTGAAATTACTTGTCAAATTGCGCAATAAGACTATTGTCACTGTAAAATTGACGATCCTTCGATCGCGAATTGCTGCGACTAACTGCGCAATAAAGGCTGCCGCGCCAGTTTATATTTGGTTTGCCGCTCTTTTCGAGACCATTCGACCGTATGACGCGCGCGCATGCGCTCATTGCCTGATTCGATGCAGGATCAACAACGTTCCTTTTGCGTTCGTGGATCTTGCGTGGACCTTCTCGTAATTTCTAGCAATATCAGTCGCCCAAATCAAAGCTCGCTTACAGGTGATCTATAAATCTATATCATTCGCGAAAGAATTACGTAAGTAATTCGTATGCGTTCAATTCTGAAAGAAAACATTGCGTTTCTGTAAAAATCGAACATTATTTTTGCAAACACTGACCATGTACATGCTCCCTATATAAATGACGCATATCAAATAACTTATCAGACGTATATTAAACAGATTATAAAAGAATTTCTTGCAACTGAAATTTGTATAAGAAAAATATGAACGATGAAATATCTAAACAATGTGATAATTATATTTTATCCGTTTATAGATTAGAAGAATTTAAAGAGAAAATGTTTTAATAACTCTCAAAATTTAGAAAATTTTTTGTGATTAATACAACTATGAATAAATTTAAGTGTTTTCTTTAACTATACAATAAAGAACTTAAATCAATTTTACGAAAATATTCGTAGAGAGAAAAAAAAAAACAAGAAAAAAGATCAAATTGAAAAATATAAAATCTCTTTATTGGAGATTAAATATAAAAAATCATATATACATCATACTAAATAAATTATACAACTGTAAAAACATGATATATGTTTAGCATTTTCCATTTGTCAAGACATGTTTCGATATGTCTCATATCTGCTGCCACTTGTGCTGCATGTCTATTTTGAGATAGACTTAATTAGTCATTGAAATGCTACGCTTGCTTTTATTAGCGAATGGAGATTAGCCAAAAAAATCTTTACCGAACATTACTTGCTATGTCCACAACATATATGTAATTGAATATATATCTATTATATTAACATCTCTACACAATGTGACAATGTTTCAATATTTTAAAAAATCCCTCAAGGTAGAGATTTTCTATAAAAATAATTACATAGATAATTCACACAGAGCTTTGCTCCATTTACATTAAATGTATTTTACCTAAATGGCACATTGAATTTACATCATTTTTGTTTGTTAGAGATTATTTTTAGGATTTTAATTCCGCCATAACAGGCATTACAATTTTATATGGATTCAAAATGCCGTTCGGATCCATTAGTTTTTTCAAATCATACATCATTGCGATCTCAGACGAGGTTTTGCTCAGGTGAAGATATTTAGTCTTTTTGAAACCAATGCCGTGTTCGGCGCTGATGCTACCCTGACATTGTGATACGTACTCAAAGATAAATGGCTCCAATTGTGCAGCCACATCCACATAATACTCTGGTATAGAGACTTGTACATGGATATTTCCATCGCCTGAAGATATAAAAGAAGAAAATTGTTCACAAATTATAAATATATTTTAATTTTGACATATTTCAGTTACCATTATATATATTTATGAATACCTAAATGGCCATAACCACTGATCCTAATGATACGAGGATCGTGTATCCGCTCTCGAAGCACCTCGACGACTTTATAAAACGATGTTAAAGGTAAGGAAATGTCATACTTGAAGACGTAACCATCACGCAGAACGCCCTCGCTGATTCTTTCCCTAAGTGCCCATATATTCTGTAAATTAAATCTTTAGTATGAGAAACAGCTAAATTACAACATATTCTCTAAAGCTTCGAATATAATTTTTTGCATTCAAAAAGATTCAAATACAGTAACCAAATATGAACTTTTAATCATAAAACTTCTAGTATGTAAAATGAAGAATGATAAAGCGTTTCTTTAAGTTTACAATTTTTTAAATTTTTAGGTTTATATCTTTGATTGCGTACATTAACTTTTGTCGTTTCGTTAGTCAAAGTGCCATCTTCGATAATGTCATTATTTATTGCCTGCTCCACGAAAAGGGAGAGTTTCTCCTCATCATGGGTTAAATGACTACCGGAAGTTTCGATAAGCATGTAGAACTCGTGACCGTTTTCATGGCTTGTCAAAGGATTTTTCATGCCCAAATTGTTAATGGAGACGTCCATAGATAGTCGATCCATCATTTCGCAGGAAGATAGAATCTCGCCTAATTCACGTTTCGCCAAATGGTATGTTTTCAATACTTTATCAAAACTTGCCAATCCTGCGAGTGTCACATAATTACAATTGAAAATTAAGTCTTTATATCTATATATGTATCCCCCCCCCCCCCCCTCAGCTATTTTATTTATTTATAATACCTAGAAATGCGAGGTGTACAGCCTTTGGCAAAGGTGGACACTGTACAGCTACTTTTGTCACAATTCCCAATGTTCCTTCAGAACCAATAAACAGATGTTTGAGGTGATAACCGGTATTGTTCTTCTTTAGCGTATTCAATGCATCTACGACGTCACCGTTTGCTTTTACCTGAATAAATACAAATTGTATTACTTCCATATATACAGATCTTTTTTCTCTAATTAAATTTAAAGAATCCAAAGTTCTTTGGAATAATAATTTTAGAATTAAGAATGAAAGAGGAAAGATTTTTGTTAAGAAAAAATGTTGTACATGTATAAAAGAAAATCTTCAAAAATTAAATTTTAATAATAAATAAAAATTTTAGATGTAATAAAATTTACACGATACAAAATAATAAACAATTTTCGGCGCTAAATAATACTTTACGCAACTCGTATTTGTGCTTACTGCTTCCAATCCCAAAATGTTGCCATGAAGATTACCATAACGTAGCAGTCGCAATCCTCCCGCATTAGTTGAGACGCAACCACCAATCAAGCAGCTGCCTTTCGCTCCAAGATCCAAAGGCATCATCATCCCGACCGTGGCCAAGTGATTCTCCAAATCCTGTAAAACGCAGCCAGCTTCGCATGTCAGTACACCTGACACATTGAAGTGTTTGCGTTTTTAATATAATGATAGCAAGTGTGAGAAATGAATAATCATCATTAACAGTCCACACATTATTTTTTTTCCATTATTTAACAAGAAAAAAATATATCCCATCGCGACATTATTATCTATTTTCGCAAATGTATAATTTTTTTCCAAAGGCATACGTCAATAAAATCAAAAACTGAAATTAAAATCAGAAAAAAATAGTGATCAGGAGATGTATGCTAGAAACATATATAGTACATTTTTAGAATTTCCTGGCAAACATTTAATTATTTCGCATTTTCAACTGTGATATGACTTATTGGTTGTCACTTAATATTCTTAATATCTCTAAAAAACCATATTATTGTTTGATAAACAAATTAAATTATATTTTAAGAATATAAATTAAATTTTTTCAACGTTACGCTTAAATAAGACGGAATAATATTAACATATCTAATTACAATGTAAATAATCAAGATTTTTATCTTGTTTGTTTATCTGAATTTTTTAAAATTGTCTTACCCGCCAATTCATTCGTAACCAGAATCTTATTCATGAATTTCATGGAGACCACAATCTCGTCAAAGACGGGATTGCTACCTCCAACAAGACCAGTGTTTCCGCTCTGTGGGACAAGCGCTAATCGCTTGTCGTTGCAATATTTTAATATAGCTGACACTTCCTCCGTAGATTTCGGTTTTAGCACGCATCGACTGGCACCTGCACAAAATCAAAATGCCAACTTACTTGTGACTTAAATATGGAAAAATTTCGAACTTCTATTTCAAAAAAGGGTATTCTAAAATACTAATCATATATGATATTAAAAATTCTTCCTATTCTCGCGCGTTTACCTCTGACAGTCCTGGGAAAATCGATATTGTAACTCTCGCATTCATCTGGATCCGTGATTACACGATTTGAGCCCATCAATGATTCAAAAAAACTAATATCTGCGCTCGAGATCGTATTGTAGGGCCCACGTTGCATCTTATATCTGATCGATGTTAATTCGGGTTTCGTTGAGTAGCGACGACGCGTGCCTGCGATATTTCGCGGATATCGAACGGCGATGTCGTTGCATCGTCGAAGCACAATGTTTGTTAACACACGTTGCATCCCTTTTGTTTCCTCGCAATAAGTTTATCTTAAAAAAAGATAAAACAAAATATAGATAAAGATAAGACACAAAGTATGTAAATATAATGTATATTGGACAAGATAAAGATGACCTCGTTTTAAATTTATCAAAATAAAAGATTAGATTAAAATAATGTCGCTTAAAAAAAAACAATTTAGGATATAAAAAAATATATTTTCACACTTTTTTCTTAAGAACAAGTTTTTTAAATGTGCCATTTGACAGATTTTTATATGGCGTTACCCATATATAACGATTTTAATCGTTACTCAAAATTTAAAAAGTTCTGATAATACAAAAACAGATATTTTAAAACTCTACATGTTTACAGCAATGTACATTAGATTTGTTAAACATTATTTTAAATAATTCAAAGAAAATATAACACACTTATTTTATTTAAGATACAGATAGAGATAATATATTTTTTGGTAAACTAAATAAATATAAAACTTTCAAACGCAATAATCGAAAATCAATTATTCTATTTTTTACAAAGGAAAATTTATCGAATTGTTCGTACAGAAATATCGCAATTACATGGACAGAATGTGATATCTTTTATACACCATAATTAGAATAAAATAATATTGTTACATATTATTAAAATCAAATATATTTATAAAATACGAAAATTAATTGCATAGGCAGTTACATACAATATTCGAAGCTTCTATAGAAGCAATAAAATTTTTTGCTTTCATTTATAGGAAAATATTTAAAGTTATTTTTGAATAATAATGTTTTATAAAATACTGTATGTAGAATAATTTAAATAAATATTAAATAAATGCCGTACAATTATACAATAAATTAAGGATATATGTGTCATATGTCAAAACATTGACAAAAGCATGAAAATTTTGTAGACACTCTACTATTTCTTCTGAGTATCTCTGCAAAACCTAAGCACAATTCTCTTAACAGCTTGGAAATTATTTAAGTTTAAAGTTACTATTGATTCTTATGGAAAATCGCGTATTATAGCATTTATTGACAAATTTGACAAGAAAAAAACATTGCCAACAAAATAAAAATTTTTACATATATTAAGAAAACTCTAATAAATATTTGTGCAAAACTTGATTTAGATCCACTTACTCGTTTAAAAGTTATTTACTAAAAATTGTAGAAAAATATTATCTTTCTTTCTCATCTCTTTTTCTGTAAATTATTCATTTTTCTTTGTTTCTTGCGGTTGATTTCAGGAAATATTCACAATCAAAAATTTTTGTCAAATTAGGAGAAATATTTTTTACAACTATTTTCTTCTACGAAGACGTTAAAAACTCATTATCTTATGATACTTTAATTCTTTTTATAATCCAGATTTATTTATTTAATTTTTCAAACAGTATAAACAAAAGAAATTTTTTTTTTAATTTTGACAGTTTTTTGCTACTATTGTATAGCCAAAACATCCTTAAGAGGATGCCGGACCGTCCTGTTTTACCGGCCATAATAATTATATATTTGCTTAATATAAGGGTTTTGCGGTGTGTACGTGCAAAATAGGATACCTCTCCACTCGGAAATGCATGAAGGAATATAAGTGAACGTTTGAAAATGTATTTGAAAGCCTAGTAAGAAACATTTCGGTGTGCAAAATGTTGCATAGTAAAATCTTTTTTATAAAGCTTCTAAACTCACTTCTCGAAGTTCACTAATACTCTTTGATAAAATGCCGAGTGCGGAGTTCACTTGTTAGGCACGTGCAGGTTGCAGGTTTTTTATATTAAGTAAATGTTGACGGCAGAAGCCGATAACAAAACTG